CAAACGAATATAAATATGTATATGTTCCGAGCTAAATTTCTGGTGAAAAAATATAATTTTTGACGAGCGCTGGGTTTTTAATTTTTTCCCGCGAAAGACGAGATTTATTAATGTTTCAACAGCTTTTGGCGAGTAAACATCACAGGTTGCGTGACTCAACATTTGGCCGAGTGGAAGCTCGAGTCTGCTCGCACACAAGTCGACAAAAAAAAAACCACGGGTAAACCATGAACCGCGCTCGGCCCATGGCCGCGCGGTTAATTATAAAAAGGATTGCTACAGAAAAAGAGTTTTAAAATAATTCCCTCGAGTCCCAGTGTCACTTTTCTTCCAGGGCCCGAATCAAGCAGTTTCGTGACTGAGGCATCTTGCGATGACAACAAATCTTGTTGAAAGCAGGAAAGCATGTGACTCCTCTTGACTGAAACATAACACGGGTTATGTTACATACCGGTGTGCCAAAAAATAAAAGGGATTTCTTCGTTTATAGTTGAAGAGAAGACATCGCTGAAGCCGAAAACATGTTGAGATTTATACTGTTGGGCCTAGTTTGCCTTGCACCTGAAGTTGCGTCAAGCTTCCCGGCCAGTGCACCTAAGGTCGACGTGACTCTGTACTACGAAAGCCTGTGTCCAGACTGTCAGTTGTTTATTCGTCAACAGCTTTATCCAACGTACCAAAAGATTGGCGACATCTTCAATCTAACACTTGTACCGTACGGGAACGCCGAGGAAACAAAGCGCGGAGACAAATGGGTTTTCCAATGCCAGCACGGGCCGAACGAGTGCCTAGGAAACCTTATCGAAACCTGCGCCATCTCTCTGCTGAAGAACCTTTCTGTGTCGTTTCCATTTGTTCACTGCTTCGAGGTGTCGATCGAGCGCTCCGGAGATCCTAAGTCAGTCGCCCAGCATTGTGCCAAGTCTTTGGGAATTGACTACGCTCCGATAGAAGCGTGTGTGAGTGGGCCACAGGGAAACGAACTGGAGCACGAGATGGCGAAGAAGACAGACGCGTTGGAACCGCAGCACGAATACGTACCGTGGGTGACCATCAATGGAAAACACACAGAGAAGATCCAGAGGGAAGCCGAGAACAACTTGCTGAAGCTCGTGTGTGAATACTACGAAGGAACTAAACCACCAGCTTGTGAAAAGCAGAAGATCGGTCGATGTTACAATAACTGGGAACCTTTTCCACAGATACAGGAGATTTAATTTTTCGTTGGTGCGTGCACAGGTAGCCCAGACTTTTTTTACCTTTGATGATTGCGTAACAATTTTCAGAAAATGCACGAAAAATTGCACCAAAAGCTATGCGTAGAAATGAATCTACATGAAAGTCACGTTTGTCTTGTTATATTTTATCCCCTTGTATTGCTTTAGCCAGGTCAGAGCCATTTAGGAGTAAGTTTCACCATTTTGCCTAATATATTTGGTCTCTATTCCGGGGTTTCATTTTTCTTTTAGTTTGCTCGTGTAATAGATGAATAAAATTTAAATCGAATGGAAGTATGTCCAAGATTTCACAGCTTGTTTATTGTTATTTACGATGGAAAACTTTTAATAACCCTCGAACCTCAAAACCTCCAAGCGAAACAAAAATACATTAGGCCAATGAGGAATTTCTCTGCCGGACACGGGAGAAAAGTTTGATCCCGCGCGATCCCGTTTGATGAAACTCTGAGCGCTTTCCATTTGCGCGGAAAAACCATTGAGAATTTTCCATCGAATGGAAAAGTACAAACAAAACGAGACGGGATGAGTGTGTGCTATTCAACAGCCATTGAATACTTTCCAGTCGAAAGGACTGTTCGATTTTCCCATCAAGACGACTGCGTATTTCATCAAGGAGCTTGAATTGCCGGTTTTCGTGTGACCGTTTTTCACATACCGATATAAAGAAAAGCTATCTGAAAAAAGCGTTTTATTCCATACACGTGGAACCGAACCCCCCTTATTTCAGACCTTACTAGATTTTTCGAACTCTAAAATTAGCAGGGGTTTCTGACATATGATATCGTAGGTTTTTATTTCTGTTAATGAGATCTGAAGGCTGAAGTTTAAAAATTGAAGTTACATGCACATGTAACTCAATTTTAGACAGGACCGGATCACTGACAACATGTTATCAAAAGGCAAACCGGCACCTTATTATTTGTTAGGAAAGCACATGTAAGTTGTTGCAATTGCTATTTTCAGATATGTCCCTGAATAATTATGAACTCGTGGAAAACACATGACATTATGCTGAGTGCGGGAGATGACCGCACATTTCTTTTTGCTGGTCACGCAATCCTCGCGGAGGGAACGCGATCCCCAGTTTGCGGTGTGAGTGGAGGGTGAGGCCGGTGTGAGAGGAGCGAGATTGACCATGGACTCCTGGGAGCTAAAAAGTTTTGTAGACAACGTTTTCTTTAGATACGTGCAGGGTATACGATTGATTCAAAACGAGTTACATTCACTAAAAACAACCCAGAGAGTTGTGCGTGTTCAAAAGGTTCAACAAACGTGCAAACGAGGACAGACTGGATGAGAAAATGTAACAGGTTGCGAACAGTCTTGAACAAATTTTTATGCAGTTTACAAATGCAAGATCTAGCAGACAATCTTTCGACTATTATATATACGATTCGTGCAGCCTCCCCAAGAATTGGAACCTTTTATGGTCGGAACTTGTCCCAGCCATTCTAGGTTATACTAGCAAGCCGATATGGGGTTACGTGGCTCAGCATTCAAACATGTGAATGTCATTTGATGGTCACGCGCCTAGCTCCCAGGCGCGGCGCGCGTAAGGGTATAAAGGCTGAAAATTCACTTACGATCAGTATTCTTTGTTGTTGCCGTTGAAAATGGAATTTGTCCAGCTCCGTTTCCTTGCCGTCCTGTTGGTCGCTCTCCCTTTGTTCACTGTCGGAGCACCGACAGCAGCGCCGAAGGTCGGAATAGCGCTGTATTATGAGAGCCTGTGTGGAGGATGCAGGGACTTCATCATGTCCCAGTTCTATCCGACGTTCCTGAAGGTTGGCGACATCATGAATGTGACGCTGGTCCCGTACGGAAATGCAGAAGAAACTCGCTACGGGGATAAATGGCAATTCACTTGTCAACACGGTAAGGCGGAATGCGTAGGAAATCTCATTGAAACATGCGCCATCTCGATTCTTCAGAATACTACCGTGTACTTTCCTTTCATCCACTGCCTTGAAACCAACCTCGCTGGGAGTGATCCGCTCTCGGTCGCAGAACATTGCGCCACTCAACAAGGAATTGATTTCGCCCCCATTGAGAAGTGCCAGACAGGCCCACAGGGGAATGCCCTCGAGCATCAAATGGCTCTGAAGACCAATGCGCTGGTTCCTCGCCATAATTACGTTCCGTGGATTACACTGAATGGTAAACACACTAATGATATACAGGACAAGGCAACTTTTAATTTGCTAGGATTGGTGTGTGACACTTATCAAGGTACTAAACCTTCTGCTTGTCAAAAACACGAACGGATACATTCTCGCTGCTACAAGGATGCGTGAACAATAGTTCGGAATGAGGAAGTCAGTATTGTAATTTGTAATCAGTTTTTCCCTGTTTACGATTTTCTTGCACCATTGTTGTGAAAATTGCTACAAGAATTTTAAGTCTACATTGTATCTCTTTTCGCTTTATGTTAAGTTGTAAAATTGACAAGTGATATCCTTGTCGATTTAAATTAATGAAAAGTTAAAGTTACTGAGTCGTTTAAATCTCTTTGCGGTGAACCTGTATGTTCAGTATTTTCCCTGCGCGCTGTAATGTGGTTTTGAGTCAAAATTATAATAAACAACATACCATTTACTCCCCAACCGGTTTTCTACTTCAGTTACCTCGTCACGCAATCTGTCTCAGCGATTACGTAACGCCTCAAACGAGTATGTAGTAGGCTATCGGAAAAGGGGGGGTTTGAACAGTTGCAGCTTGTTTCCTCTTTTCCTATTGATGGTCGTAAAGGTTATTTACGGACAAATATATTTCTATTATTTCTTTTCTTTTTTAGGGGCCGGGGGGGTGCCGGAGGGGCAGTTGCTAAAAATGAACTGCACGGACTTTTTGTACAATGGGCCCCTGATGCTAAGGGGTGCATGAGTATTCGATCTTGTCGGCCAGTCACCCTACACACTAACAATCCCATCCAAACTTGGTCTTTCAAAACCCCTCGAGGTTTTCGGTATCCGGCCTTTAATTGTACCCCCACTGGAAAGCATGTAACTGAAAAGGTAGAGCTACAACTGAATAGCCTGCATTGAGCACAGGGCTAAGCTTTTAAACGCGCCTCCCCGCGATAGAAATCGGAAAAGACTGCTGGGCCGGTGTAAACACCAGGGCGGGGGGAAGTATCTTATCCTAACAGTCGCACATTATTGTAGTTAAGGTCGGTAAAGTTACATTATACACACACTGGGATTCAAAGATGTCCGGACATGGCCTTTTATCGATAGCTCGGCAGAACCATCTAGGCTGTAGAAAATTAGAGCATCGGAACAGTTTTTAATTTTACCGAAATTTTTAATTAATCATGTCCATAGATTCCCACGTGGTCTAGTGGTTAGGATTCGGCGCTCTCACCTCCGCGGCCCGGGTTCGATTCCCGGCATGGGAAAGACAGTTTTTTCACTTTTTTAAAAAAACGCATCTCGGATTGAATCCAACACTTCACATGAAAGGAAAATCTCAGAAATGATCGAAACAGACTAACTAAGTAGCCTAGCCTGGATAAATGCAGGAAAACGCGGGGCATTATATCGCTGAAACAAGTAAATGCGTGAAATCGTATAGGTGGCCAAGAATGTTACTATTTTCTTTACTTCACGCGGAAGCAGCGGTTGAGCACTTCCCTGATATTGATCTTATTTCCTTGTTGTGAACGAGGAAGTTCATTTAGGGTAGAATGTTTTACTTGTTCTAGAAGATTTTCTCTTCCTTGTTCCCAGGCCTCAGACGATCCTTTCTTGGTGGGCCGGGGGGGAGGAACTCCGTTGTATGGGCTATATAGGTACGTGCGGCCCCAAAGGGAATGGCTTTTCAACCTTTTGGGTCATAAATAGGGTATCAATATTGGCCATTCCAGTCTTGAATTGGGTATGCTTTTTAGAAGGAGCTTCTTTTTCATCATTATCGTTAAGACCATCGACTGTAGCCCTTCATAGATTACATTTAGGGCAAATATGCCAGCCGCAAGCCCGCAACGGTCGTAAATAGGGTATCAAATTTTTTTGGTCAGGTCATAAATAGGGTAGAGAAAATCGCAGATTTTAGTCATAAAGAGGGTAAGGGTTTTGAGAGGTGGGCCGCACACCCCCACCCAATTTTTCTGGGAGTACCCTCCGGGTGCTTATAACTGAATGAAACGAAGCCACAGCTCGGACACTGCAGATAAATTGTCGCTGTAGTTTTCATTTGCGCCATTCATCAGCCGCTTCAACGGCCAAACGATTATTGCTTTCTTTATCACAGAGTATTGTTTGCGTTGAAACGCTTAAAAACATTTAATTACTGTTTGCTGTTTTATTTATCTTCGAATTGTCTGACAGGTTTCAAACTGACAGGGCTTCTATAAAGCACGTGGAATGTAATTATAAGGAAAGGTTGAGTAGAGAATCGCGCAAAACCGCCGCCAAATTGAATTGGGTAGTGGTTTGTTGTCTAGTTTAGTACACTGATACGTAGAGAAGTGTTTCAGTATGCGCTGTTAACCCTCTGCGATAATCTCGACTAGTCAGCAAAAAGAAAACAAACAAACTGGAACACCTTTTTTGCTATGCAGTGAGAACGTCGAGTGTTTATTTTTTTTATCTGTTACAACCTGTTGATTTTTGCCAGCTATTATGATTAAAATAACAAAACTACCAATTCTCCACTACCATCAGTTACAATTCTAGGCAACAACGACTCTTGGAAAGCATTAGAATTTTGTTTTATCGTCTTGTAGAAGATTTATTTTTAATTCTTTAAAAGTGAGTGGCATCTGTACAACGTCATTGGACAAGAACCAAATCCATGAAGATTTTTAATGATTCATTAAACTGGCTTGGTGGGTTAACCCGGTACCATACGTAGATTTTTATTCAAAACTTCATCGACCTCGACCTTGCTGTCAACAACGATGTCTCCATTATATTTTATAAACATTTTGTATTTCTTATCCTTAGTTAGCGTCAAATTTATATGCTGTAAATTATATTCCGATCCAGCTTCATCTCACCAAGAGAGTTGTGCCGCCAAAGACAAACATGCGTGTGAGTCAGGAGTTCATGACGCGAAATCCGACGGACCGACATTTATAGGAAGGGACGGACTTACGCGATTAGATGGAATAAAGGTAAGCAACTTCACTTATTCTCTGACAGATATTGCCCTAGGGGTTAATACGGATGTTAGGAATATATCAGTCGTCAGAAATTAAAGTTGAAAAATCAATCTTGGCGCTAGCATAGTTAACGCCAAAACACATTCAGTTCGATGTGTAAATTCCCTCCACTGCAGGCTATACAATTCTTTTGAATACGGTTTGGAGAATTTCATTGTACATCGTTTAGTTTTCCCCGCAGATGAGTTTCTTAAATTCTTGTCACCTGTCTGCTAGGTGGTGTATTGATATTGTATGGAGAAATAAGAAGTTGATCGGATTCTGACAGTTTCTACTTCACTTTAAAATGTAATCAGATCTCAGACTTATGTTTGAAGGCTCAGAATTGACAACATATTAAGCTCGCCCAAGTGGAAAACGGTTGGGTGGTTGGTGTAAAATAACTGGCTAATAGAAGGAACTAGAGCTAAAGTAAACATCCAGAAGCCGGCCCCAAACACCGGCCATAAAAGAGGCCAGTGCCGGATTTGATATCTCAGGATATCAGGACAAGATATCAAGATATACGGATTCCGATTGGAAAATTGTGAATTTGGATACGGTACATCAACGTTTTACTACTACTACTACTACTAATTCCTAGCTCTCCTCTGGGAAAATAGGGCCATTGACTTGTTTCCTCCATTCTACTCTGTTTCTCGCCGCAGTGACAGCTTCCGTCCAGGTGGCAAAACCCATCTTCTGTCTTTCTCCCTCCACAGTTCTCCTCCATGTCTCTTTAAGTCGCCCTCTGCTCTTCTTTCCCTCTGGTGCCCAGGTTAAAGCAATGCGCGGATTCTGATGGTGGTCCATGCGCAGTACATGCCCTATCCAGCGCCGCCTTCGCCTCCTTATCTGTTCACTGATGGTGCAAGTCCTGGCCCGTCTCCTAACCTGTTTATTTGACACCCTCATTGGCCAGTATATTCTAAGTATCCTCCCTAGACATTTGTGTAGAAATGTGTCTAGTTTGCCTCATCCCTCTTGGTCATTCTCCAGGTTTCACACCCGTAGAGAAGCAATGCTATGACGTTGGACTTGAAGATTCTTATCTTGGTGTTTTTGCTCAATTGCCCACTCCTCCAGATCTTAACCAGTTTGTTGAATGCTCCTCTAGCTTTATCTAGGCGGCTCTTGATGTCGTCCTCAGCCCTTCCGTGCCTGGTTATTCTTGCTCCTAGGTAGTCAAAGCTGTCCACATCCTCTACCTGCTGTCCATCAACTACGACTGCATTGTTGTTGTTTGCATTTATCCTCATGAGTTTGGTTTTCGCGGTGCTGATTTTCAAGCCCGTTCCCTCCCCGTTCCTATTCAGGTGGTCGATCTTCTTCTGAATCTGTGTGTGTCTTGAGATGAGAGCCAGGTCGTCTGCGAAGTTTATGTCCTCTAGCATAGTTGTCATCTTCCACTTAACGCCTGTCCTCCTCATCACCCAGTCTATAACCAAGAGGAACAAAAACCCAGATATATTGTATCCCTGCTTGACCCTCGACTTGACCTCGAACCGTTCTGTCCTTCCGTCACCATCAACCACTGCACTTGTGCAGTTAGTGTACATCACCTGCACCATTCTCACGATCTAAGGTGGTATTCCGTAGCACCTCATGATCTTCCAGAGAGTACTTCTGTGTATGCTATCAAAAGCCTTCTCAAGTCTTTTAACTAAACTGAATTTTCTTGCAGCTATTATTGTAGGTTGCTTCAAACTAATGTCATAAACTTAATGACCGAAGTTTCCCCCTGATCGTCTGTGGCAACCCCATTCAAAATTGAAAGTTGATTCAGGGAACCCGCCTGTTTTTGTGCTTGTTATATGTTGTTGCTTTTTTTTGTTTTTGTTTTTGTTTTTGGAAATAACGAATGTTAGATCCTTTGTAAAGTTCGTCGATTGACGATAGAGCCCAGAAATGGGAATCCGGTCATATTTTGTGGCCGCTGGGCAACCGCGGTAACTTCAGTTCTCTAACCTTTGCAGGTTGGTCATGTTGAAGAAGTGAATTTAGGTGACTGCAGGAGAGAGCGAATCACTAGAGCAATGAAACCTCTATTATTTGGTAAGGATGGCAAATAAAGTGACCGGTGACCCGTTGGATTCTTCTAATGCAAGAGTAGGAACAAGTAATTAACTCCCTATAATAAAAGGACACATCTGAAACAAGGGCGAATTCATAGACACGGGTCTGCGATCCGTTGCCGATCGTTCGTTTCCAAGAACGATCTTGCCCTCACATATAACTTCTCCACTAGTTAGACATGTGTTTTAGATCTAATCACGCTGACAAAACATTACAACCTAGACTGAGGACGTAACTGGGGCTTAACTGATCGCCGAGAATTGGCCACAATTTGAACAGTCTAGGCAGTTGAAAAAATAACAAGTTTTTAACCGAAAGCTGAGAACTGCAAACTCTCAGGTAGCTAAGAGCCGAATGGATGAACTTTGACTGATAGCTAAGAAATCGCCGAAAATTTTACTGATAACTGTTCCAGGCTCTCGGTAGTTGGGGACGAGCGAAAAAAGGAGGGCGAGCGAGAGAAAAAGCGTGGGAGAACTAAGGAGAGGAACCCTCCGCCTCCTTTCCTCACCTAAGTCCTCCTCGTTTTTTCTCTCGCCCACCCTCTTTTTTCACTCTTCTCCAACTAACGAGAGCCTCTATTTTTCGCTCAGTCGTCTCCAACTACCGAGAGCCTGGAACAGGTTAATTCAATTCCAGTGCCCCAAATTCAGGTCAGAACCTCTAGACAGAACGTCTTGCCTTTTGTCGACCTCAGCAAACAAACAAACGATGCCATTTGGTTTTTATCTTACAGAAATACCGCACTTTTTGGCGAATGAGGAATGTGACTACGTAATCAAACTGGCTGAAGGAAATGGACTTATTTCAAGTATCACTCGTGGAGGGCTGACAACTAAAAGAGATCTAGAAGTACCAAAAGTTGAGAGTAGGTGCTTTAACTTATCCTTACAGTGCGCAATAATAGGAAAGCGTGGAGAATTGTTTATCAAGTACACATCCAATTCAATTTCAGGCGGGAAAGGTGAAGGTGTCGCAGGAACTTTTGAAGCATGGGACATGAATAATGACCTAAAGATTACAGTGGACGAGGTATGAATAAAACGTCGAATTATAACAGTAAACGTAACCGTTTCGGATTTCACTCATATTTGATGATTGCTTTCTTTTTTCACTCTCCTTGGCACGTCTCGCTTACGAAATGCACAATTTTTGTCAAACCTTTCTTTTTTCTCCATAATTCTGTTTAATTGACCTATCTTAGTCTATAACGAGCAAAAATTGGGCCGATAAACAATCTTATGCATTTTAGGTTAACGAAAACTAGTGTCGCCGATTTTGAAAGTTAATTAGTTGTAAGCTAATGTGTACATGTAGGCCGGCACAAACGAGGAGACTAGCCCCAGTCCCCTAGCTCGAGTAAACTCTTCAAGGAACATGCTGCAGGTGCTAGTCCGGGGGACTTGTCTCCTCGCGTTTGCCGGTCTTATATAAGGGTTCGTTGCTTACCACTAACAAGTCAGTCTTTGTTTTCATTTCTATATCCTTTGCAGGTAATCGAGTACGCAAAGAGATATATTTACGCCGTATTCAGTGAAGAAGATTTAATGGAACTGTGAGTAGTATTGATATGGACAATTCAAATGATGTTATTGATAAATTAATTACTCATTTGGCATTTATTTTATTATTTAACAGACTCCACAAAGTGAACGTTACTGAATTGGACGATGGTAGGTCAGGCACGCGCAAAATACTTATTGCTTGCTTTTACGCCATCTTAAGTAGGCTGCTAGCAGTCTGTTTTTTTCGCGAAATCAGGCAACGATTATGAAAAGTTTCAGACTAGAGGGGATTGGGAACTAAGAGACGGGCGCGCCACTCAGCGCACACGTACAGCCCTTAAATATTGCGTTCGTGTTCAAGGATAAACACTTGTCTGACACTAAGAGAAAACACCGACTACCAGCAGTCTACAATACGTGATTGCTTCACGAGCAAATCATTGAGTTAGCACAGTGACTGTTGCGAATTTTGCTTATAAATAGTCATTATTGGGTGAAAGAATTGGAAGTACAGCGACCAGATGGTTCCTGTTGTAACAGATTGATCACATAAAGCTCAGGCCAAACATACTCGCAAGTAGACGAAACTTGAAAACTTCCATGGGTCTACTTGCGACTATACGTACTTGCTAGTCTGTTTGGCCAGGGCTTAAGACTACATCACGGATGACAAATGAATGAAAGACAGGCAATATCAGAACGTATAAATACAACATAAATAAATTAAATAGCCCGTGCATGGAAAGGACCAAGAATTACTGAGTGACCTTCAATAACATTTGGTAACGAATGAGAAACCTATTAATACGAGTTGAATTGCATCACCCGTAATAACTATTTATCTTACTGTGTCTTGATTTGACTTAAAATTCAAACACTGATAAGTCTTATTTCCCGCGTGCTCTGTCTCCCGATATTGAACTTCAAGTATTTTATTTCAGGTTTTATCACGCCTAAAGAGTTTGAGAACATGAACACTCGCGGTGCTGATACAATGATGATGCACGCGGGAAAAACGCATCCAAAGTACAGACCTCGCTACAGTTATCAGACCTTTGTGAACCAGAGATACCTCAAGGATCCGATCTTGGACAAAATTATAGAAAGGTAAATATTAAAACCAAAGTAGCCATCGTATATTACCTTTTCTGACTAATGATGTTTGTTTTCAAGTGGACCTTCTTCATCTTACAGTATTTTGCCAATACGTCCGGATCGAATACGAACGAAAGATGGCAACAGTTTAGCCCTCCATTTTCAGCGTTTTACAAACAACTCTCAGAAACGTATGCACAGTCTCATCCGTAAATCTGAGCCTGGTTAAATTTTCACAGGAAGGCGATGAGATTTTTACTTTCAGTTAGGGGCAAATGATGCTATACTTCAGTAAAATTGAAGAGATTATCGTCCAAGAGACCATATAGTTTGGTTTAACTTTACCTCTCTGAATTTCATACTTTTAGAGTAATCAAATTAACAAAGTTGCCAAGAGAAATAATATATGGAAGCGAAAGACTTCAGGTAAGAATGCAGCAATGCACCAATTCTT